CTCCTTCCCTCCCTCCCTTTCTTCCTCCTTCCCTCCCTCCCTTTCTTCCTCCTTCCCTCCCTCCCTTTTCCTTTTTCCCTGCCTCTTCCTTCCCTTCCTCTCCCTCCCTCCTTTATTCCCTCTCCCTCCCTCGCTCTCTCCCTTCCATCTACCTCACTTCCTTCCCTCCCCTCTTCCTCCCTTCCATCTCCCTTCCCTCCCTCTGTTCCTTCCTTTTTTCCTTCCTTCCTTCCTTCCTTCCTTCCTTCCTTCCTTCCTTCCTTCCTTCCTTCCAGAAGAGTACGAGGAGCCATATTCGGATGCCAAGATCTGTGGCCAAACCTTCCGCTATGGCAGCTCCCCTTCAGTGGACAGGCATCTGGAGTGCAGTCCTCGCCCTCCCCCCAACAAACGCATGGAGTTCATCTACATGGTGAGTCTGGTGCTTTGCAGCTTCTTAAGGGAAATATTGGTGGGGGGCCAGCGCAGAGCTGAAGTCCACCTCCAACCTCCAAAAGGACCATGCTGATCCTTTTCCCCCCCTCAATGCCACTTTCTGACAGCCTCCAAGCCAGCAAGTGAAGGAGAACGAAACCGCATCCCTGGGGGTAAGAGTGCTGGAGCCTTCGCTTAGCTTGCCTGCTACCCCAGACAAACACACAGCCTGGACCCACGGATCCCCCCTGCCCGCTCTGGAGGAAAAGAGATTACAACAGCCCTGTTCCACTCAAGCCAACATCGTCCCTATCAACGTCTCAGGTAGAGTAGATCGTGGCTGCGTGCGGGCGTGCATGTATGCGCCAGTAGTGGGATTCATTTTTTTTTTACTACCGGTTCTGTGGGCGTGGCTTGGTGGGCGTGGCATGACTTGGTGGGCGTGGCGTGGCCTGGTGGGCATGGCAGGGGAAGGATACTGTAAAATCTCCATTCCCTCCCCACTCCAAGGGAAGGATACTGTAGTCTCAACATCTTTTTTATAGTGTGGTGTCCCAAAACTGGATGCAGTACTCCAGGTGTGGCCTTACTAAGGTCTTGTAGAGTGGTACTAGTACCTCCCTTGATATTGATTGCATCTTTTTGGCTGCCTCCGCACACTGCTGGCTCATATTTAGCTCCAAGATCCCTTTCACAGTCACTGCTATTAAGCTTGGTCTCACACAGTCTATATGTGTACTTTTGATTTTTCTTGCTTAGATTTAGATTTTACTTTATTTGTATGCCGCCCTTTTCCCTGGGGGGACTCAGGGCGGCTCACAATATAAGGGAAGGGGAAAA